TCCTATTTATTCTGACTCTGGAACCTTTGTTGAATTGCATCAAACAGAATGATAACATCAAGGGGATTCTGATAAATGGCAAAATTCATAAAATAGCAGCCTTTGCTGATGACATACTACTTTTCCTAACAGACCCACATATCACTTTACCTAATCTGCTGCAAGAATTCAAGTTGTTCCAGTATCTGGCTAACTTCAAAATCAACTTCTCTAAATCCCAAGCCCTTAATGTCTCCTTGACCCAAGATGTGTTTAGACAAGCAAAATTGAATTTTCCTTTTACTTGGCAGTCTGAGGCGATCACGTATCTGGGTATCCAACTACCAACTCACCTAACGGAACTTTACGATAAAAACTTCTTACCCCTCTTGCGTAATATCTCCACAGACCTTCAGACTTGGAATAAACCCTGGTTCTCTTGGTTTGGTAGAGCAGCCATTCTCAAGATGAACGTACTTCCTAGAATATTGTATCTACTGCAGACAATACCGATTAAACTACCAACTTCTTTCTTCGCATCCTATAAAACACTCTGTACCTCCTTTCTTTGGTATAATAAACGCCCAAGAATTAGCTTTGCCCAACTCACCATGCCCAAGAAGGGTGGAGGTATTGGATTACCTGATATTGCCCGATACTACAGGGCTTGTCACCTAGCGAGGGTAGTAGATTGGACCACGACCCACAATCGTAAGGTCTGGGTTGGTTTGGAGGCAGATTTCTCGACAATACCACTTGCCCCTTCCCCTTGGCTGGAAAACTCTCACATTCCTTCGGAGTTTCGGGAACACCCTCTTATAGGTCCTACCTTAAGCTGTTGCCATCAGTTGTTCCAGAAAAAAGAACTCTCTTCCTCTCCGGGTCCTTTAACTCCGATCAAAATGAATCCAGAGTTTCTGCCGGGTATGTCCCGGGCCTTCCTAGCCGGAGATACTTGTCCAGCTAATCTGACAGTACATCAACTCTTTAAAAATAAGAAGTTCTTATCTAGAGAGGACATTATGAAGACATGGCCATCCCTGAACTTTACGCCATGGATGTTCAGACAACTTCATCACTTTATACGAAGCTCCCCACATCTACAAGATTACTCAAGGCCACTTACTCCGTATGAGAAACTTTGCTTTACGGACTTCCCCCAGAGACATGTTATATCCAAGCTCTATTCCTATCTGGATACCGCCAATACGTCTCAACCTCAAAAGGCCTGTGAGGCTTGGTCGCTTGATCTACAACTGTCATTGTCACCGGAAGATTGGGATCACATCTATGACCATATGCATACAGGTTCCATTTGTGTCTCGACACAAGAAAACAACTATAAATTATACTCTAGATGGTACAGAGTTCCATCCTTGCTTCATAAATTTGACCCGGACGTTTCGGATTTTATGTTGGAGATGTCAACAGGCAAAGGGTACACTCCTACATATATGGTGGGACTGTCCGCTGCTGCAGCCCTTTTGGAATAAAGTGCGAGACTTAGTTTCACAAGTAACCACATACAATCTAGACTTCACCCCTGCACAATTTTTACTCCACCACTCCTCACTTCCTTTTCGGACTTATCGTAAGTCTCTTGCCTTGCACATGATAAATGCGGCAAAACAATGTATCCCTGTGCACTGGCGGTCAAAACAGGTTCCCACTGTACGAGAGTGGTTTCTTAGGGTCATCAGGATTGCGGAGATGGAGGAGCTGATTTCAGTGGCAAAAGAACACCCCGAGAGATTCAGGAAGAGACTTGGGCATGTTGGAAACACTTTCAAACCACCAGTATTTATCGTTTTTTTCTATGAATGAATGAGATGAGATTCAAGAACACAAAAACCTTTAGAGCTCTCACCTCTAGAATTGCTCCATAGACTGAGTCTACCCGGACTATATCTTACAAAAAGGTATAATCTACGTCACCATAAATAATGCTCCATGATATGATTAGTTAACAGCCACTATTTATTATTTGACCCCCTCCACCCCCCCCCCCCCCCCCTTTTTTTTTTTTTTTTTTATCCCCTTCCTCCTATGATGGTACTCTTCACACTTCCTTTCACCTGATGCGCCTTTCTCTCTTCTTTTCCTTTTTCTTCTTTCCTTCACACCTTTTTCCTCTACAAATAACTATATCTTTTATGAGGGACAGGGTGCCCTTTCACATATAGGTATGATTGTCTTTCACAATAAGAACCCTACATTTCCCGGCTACGGACACAGAAGAACTGCACGTCTTCAAATGATATATTGTACTACGCTTCATGGTCCCATTATTTGAATAATCCCTACGCATTAGAGCAGCATCCACTATAATTCTCTAGACTACCTATTATAATCAGTACTCTTTTTTGGTTTAGTTTACTCAACTACTATAATGTGATCTTTTGTATCAGGGTAATTCACACTTCAAATAAACAACTTATGACCCGTCTGCGCTACGGGAGATTAAGACAGATGTTTATGCGCGGACTGTGCTCCGTATCCGTATATGACTTGTTATGCCTTT